ACGTTTATTTTTAAATTGTCCCAATATAACGAAAACTCGATTCTTCGGTTCTTTTCTTTTCTTTTTTTTTCTTTTCAATAATGGTTTTACCATTATTGAGTTATTTTCATTAACTTTATTAAAATTAAATTAGATAATAAAAATAGATAATAAATAATAATTTACCATCTATTTTACTATCCTTTTAATTTTTATATTTTTACATTCTCATCATTTTACTTTTATTTTTGGAGTCATCGATCTTTTAAAATTTGTTTTAATTAAAGATTATTTATATCTTATTAATAATTATTAAAAATTGTTATTCTTTTTTATAAATGTTGGAAGTAATAGAAGAATTTTGACAATTTTTTCCATTATTAATCGTTATGTGTAAAGAATTTAATATTTTATTAGAAGTACGTAAATAATTTTTAAATTTGCATTGTACGAAATTGGAATGCGCGCAAATTTGTGCTCTAATTGATCTCCAATGCTCTATAATCACTTATATATCCGCGAGATGGGTAACGTTTTATGGGATATGATAGACACCAGATGGACAACGGGAGTCTTTGATTATTATGCACCGTGACTATTGAAATGAAAGTCTTCTGCTTGAATAGGTAATTTTCCCAGTGGCATATAATCATTGATTATCCCACTAATATAATACGTGCTCAATCGTCGATATCAAATCTTAAAAAGAATAAAAATAATTACAAACTTAATCATAAATTAGAAATAATATATTACATCATATTCTCTACCACTATAATTAGATATTTACAATAATTATATTATTAGTCATTACAATTATTAACAGTTAATGATAAATTTATCATTTTGTTGAATTTTATAAATTAGTTTTTAAATTTTATCGTATTTCTATTTTCTTAATTATTTTAATTGCCTAAAATAAAAATTAATTAATATTTTCTAAAAAAAACATTGATTTTGCGAAAAACTGTAAAAATTGATGAATCACAGATGTTGTTAAGCTGTAATAAATTGCAATGACTATGCAAATTAGTGTCATATTAGTAACTTTCTAGAAGTTGACTGATTTTCTATGCATAGTGCATGTACCGGAAGAAAAAACAAACATTTCGTTTGTACGTATAAATTTCGATAGTCTCAATTTTTGTTTCTGCTATTCTGGTGGATTTATATACATTTCTGGATGAATGGAGTAATATAATGATTACACGATTTTATTTTATTTTCCCGAGGAAATAAATTTAATAATGCTATAAGAGATAAACATTTTTCTTGTTCAGATAAACATGGTAAATAAAGCAGGGAAATGAGGCATTTAGTATTTTAAATATACAACTACTTTTTATTTTAAACATTATATTTGCGGTTTTATTCAATTTCCGGAGTAATTTTTCTTATTATTATGAAATATTATGTATATGCTAATTCTATATCTATTATTATTGGAATTTTATAATATTGAGTGTTTCTTATAGTAATTCGAATAAAAAATAATCAGAAAACCAGAAAAGACAATATTTAAAGAAAATCATTAATATGTTAATGATATGATTACTTATAAAAAAAGTGGTAATTATGACAAATTCGGTTCTTTGCAAATTAGATTCTTTATTAGACATGTTTGTCTTTTTACTTTTATCAACGTTTATCATGGGTGTGAAAAGAAGTGATAGGAAAAAATGATTGATAAACTTATATTTTGATTGATTGTCATGAAATTTAGATTAAAAGATTCTTTTCGCGATTGTCTACTATACTTTCAATTGAATGCGCAACGCCGGATATGCATATGTATACATAGATTACGGGTATTTGCACATAAAATTTCACGCATCGTATATTTGATTTCCTTGTTACTCAGTTCGTTTCCTCTCTTTTACGAGAACAAATATTCTAATGCAAACAATATTTGCGTAAAATCATAAATCTCTTTGAATTTTCACTTTTATCATTTTCAATTACATCTACAATAACACAAGTATTGAATAATCTTTCACTTTTCGAATTACACATTAACTTAACTGGCAGAAAAAAACAATTCTTTCCAATGTTTCGCTGTTGATGTTTCCCTAAGGAACAAATTAAGTTTTAAGGTCCCTTTTAGCCGTACAAATGAATTTTTAAATATAAATCTTCTTAGGGGAGAAAATGATTTACAAAACAAGTTATTTGGAATGGACAATTTTTATTTTCTAGAAAAATTTCTTTTATATTTAAATGTTTCGTTGACATTTTAAAGAAATTAGTTTTAGAAATTACACTTTTTGAAATTTTTCCTCTTTAAAAAGAAATTTGTCGAATGAATACAATTCGCTATTCAATATTTGCAGTAAATCATTAAGAATTTAAAAAATGCAGTGAAACCTAAAGATTTCACTAAACATACACATACATTGAAAGTATAAGTTCACTTAGTAATGAAATATTTTAGAAATCGTTTCCTTATAATGGCGACATTTTGTGAATTAATTAAAACAAGTTTAATGTATATACAATATTTTTTTTAGATTTATAAATATAAACACAATATATTCGTGTAGAAAATTAATGGATAAAATATCAGCTTGATTATGCGCACGCTAGTGAGATCGCTTATTGCACATAGGTATATATCCACTTCTTAGGATTCGCAGCTGACGGACATGAAATAAATTGACTGACACTTTTTCTTAGCTAGTTTCGCGTTTAGACTTTTTTTTACCTTATTTCTGTGTTTTTTTTGCTAAAAAACTGAATACATTACAAACGCGTGTAATCAAAATTTAATGGCTCTTTCTTTTTTTAGAAAAAAGGAATTTCTTTTTTGCATATTTTTTACCAAAATAGGAGTTTACGAGTCTTGTAATTATAATGCTTGAGATGGAAAGTCGTATTTTATGTATAGATCTAAAAAAAACAATATGTATCTGATTATACTTAATGACTTATCTTTCGTTTTAATCTTAGATTTTTAAAAATTCGGTACATTTAATTATAGATATTAGAATTAATATAATGTAATAAAAGTTTGAGTTTATGTATGTAAAAATTTGAAAAAAAGGATACACTTTTGAATATAGTTGAAAAATTATAATATTTAAACAATTTTCTCAAATAGAATTTTTTTTCTCTAAAAGTCTAATTTTTTTTTTTTAAATGAAAGACGACGAGGTTTAATGATCAATTTTCTCGTTATAATAAATATAATAACAATAGTGCAGTTTCTTTGATTCTGAACCATGAAACATGAAATTTCCTTTTTAAGATGACATTTAATAATGCACTTAGCTTTTACTATTATACTCTGTCACTTAATTAGAATCACTAGAATGACAAACAAATTGATACTTTAATATTTACAAATCTTTCCTTTACAACAATTTGCTTAGTAGTTTTTTTACCAAATTCGTAATAATTTGAAAGTTAATTTAAAATAAGTTTTTTTGTTCCAATTATGTAATTACTCTAATAGAGAGAAAATTACTAATAGATGATTATTTTTTTTGGGGGAAAATTCTTTTTCGTATAATTTTAAAAAAATTGTGTCACAATAGAGAAGAAAATTGTGTTATTTCGCGCTATGTGGAAAATAATAAAGAAAGAAAGGCGGAAGAACGCGGCTAAACCCTGAAACTTAATTTTCACCCTGGTCACGATCGAGAGCCAGATCCATACCATCAACCTGCAGCCACCTCCAAAGTTCGCCTCCTGCAGTGTAGTTTTGACTTTAAACGGTAAAACTAAACTCAAGTAAATGCCATTTAAGTTTTTTGATTCTATCGCGGTAGTAGTGATATTGTGAATTTTTTTTTTCTTTTTCAAAAAAAAGCAGAGAAGATAAAATCATTTTAATGTGTATCGTGTGAAAGGAAAGATTTATTTTCCCGTAATGACATGACGAGAGCGCGACATTTGAAAAAAAAGAAAGAATCATCGAATATAATATATTTTAGTACAACTAATATAAACCCTCGTGTAGGAATATAAATTTTTTTTTATTTTTTTCTTATAATGAAGTGGAGAAATCGCTCATGAGAGGAGAAATTTGAAAACGGGTTCATTAGAAAGTGTACCCCTTGTAATCTCATCAGTGTAATTCATGAATTTTTTTTTTCTTTTTTGAAGTGTCTTTTTTATGTGCGTCGACAATTTTCACATTTAGCTTATTGTGTTTATTGTATTGAAAAATGCGCGATTTCTTAACGAAATTATCATACTAAAGTGACCTATTCTTTTTTTGAATTATGTTTTTGTAATGCGGAGAAATTTTTTATAATTTAATTTTTTTTATTATATTGCTATCAAAAGATTGTAAAATTTAACTAATTGTGAATTTTCTAAAGAAATTTTAATGCAGAACTGGCTTTAGATTTTAATTAAAATATCAGATTTCTGATATTTTTACTTTCTTTCTTGTAATAAAATTAATTAAATCTTGTATTTTTTCAAAATTTTCCTTTTTATTAGCATAATTATTAATATTGCAGCCTTCGCACTCAATAATTAATTTTAAAAAAGTGGCAAATAGTAGCTATTGGTATAAAAAAATAGTAAATAGGAGGTTTTTGTAGACGAGCGCTAAGCCTGTAATTGATATTTATTGACAATTTTCAAATAAGAAAAGTTGAGGAAAGTATGTTTTACTCATATATAAATACCAAACAATAATGGAAAAATGCCTCATTATTAATCGGTAAAAATGTCAAAACTCAGAAATTTCCCAGACCCGTGAGAAATATGCAAATTCGATTGTTCCATTTTTCGCACGTTTTGACATCATAAAAAAGATTTTATTAATTGTATTACTTTAACAAACGTAACAGATTTTTTTATTTTACATTATATTTTTTTTCCAATAGATTACTGTCTATTATAGATTTTTTAGCTCTATGGGAAAATAAATTAATATTGAAATTTCCTCATCGAGTACTGAGAAAATATATATTGAAACATGAAATTAATAAACTTATCAACACTAATAAACTAGTAGCATGCAATAAAACTCGGCGCAATGATTCAATTTTAGATGAAACTAATACGAGAAAATTTGCATAATATATAAATATTAGGGAAAAAAAACATAATTCAAATGATAAGAACAAGGTCAAGAAACGGTTAACGTAATTTATACGTCTAATGGTCAAATTTTCTGGGGCAGGGGGTTATTTAATTGAAGGTCATCGACATGTAAGAAACGTCCAAGGCGTGACTTCCGGTCCCAGTATTTAAGTGTCGTTTGGCATCGTCAATTTTTTTCAACTGTCACATATACATAATACATATTTTTCGTCATGGTAGCCGAAATGACAGGCATTTCTTTAACGACTACCAAACTGAAAGCAAGTTCGGACAAAAATAAATCAAGTGATATTGTTATCGATCAGGAATCGTCAAATTTTTACAAATCCATTAAGAAAAGGCCAAAATGGATAGAAACAGCGACACGTGAAGCTATTTACAGTGTTCTTGATTCTAAAGAAGATATTGAGGATCATCATCAGCGTCATTGTCGATTTAAGGATAATGTTGTCTTGATTACCGCTTACACAAGTTCTGCTGATTCTCGGGAAAAATTTTCGAACGAGGATAGTGTTTTGAAAAATTGTAAATCTTATCAGTGTGAAGAAGAAGAGAAGAAGGAGGAAGAGTTGAATCCTCTCTACAGTGTGATAAGAAAAAAAGGAACGAATAATCCACAAACGGAAGTTGTTTCAAGACAAGAAGAACTGAGAAAGTGGTTGCAAATTGCGTCCAATAGAATTCCGATAACGCGTTTTAATTCTGATCATACGAATATGAGTTCTCAGGAAAGGACCAATAATCTAAATGAAGAACGTAGACCGATTTCAACCCCTAGAGGAGTAGTGGGTCTTGTGGGACCATACAGAGTCCATCATCATAATTTATCCGAGAGGCGTGAATACATTTTACAAGAGGAGGAATTAATTGAGGAGAATAGCGATTATGTTAATGATCTTCATGAAAGTGAGATAATTCGAGAAAGAGGAGGGGAAATTCAGAAAAATAATAATAATTATCACGAGGAGCATAAGAGAGCAAAATGGAGGATAAGGGACGAAGATGAGGAAACTCTTGTTCCTGAAATGATGGTGAGGAATTTTCTCGATAATATGGTGGATGATGATTTGGAAATTAAGGACGATGTGGTCCAGGAGGTGGCTGACAAGATTAAAGATTGGAAACAATTGGAAATAAGAAGCGTTACTGATCAAGTGGAGGGAATTATTATTGGCAAACAGGAAAGGGCTGTTGATGTTCCGGAGTCAATGGATAAGAGTACGAAATCTTCCAACGTTTCCGGTGAGAAGGGTTATTTTTAAAAATTTATTTTATTTTACATCGAAGGAAATATTTCTATTAAAATAATTAATGATTAAAATTTCTTTAATCAAAAGCAATTTTTTTTGGTTTCTACCGTTATAAAGTATTATGAATAATTTATTTTTATTAACAAGGATGTTAAAAGACTGTTATAGGTAGTCAATTGTCAATTATTTGTGTGAAATGTAAATTATTTACCGGTATCGGGGAGGAAAAATTTACTTATATGAGTTTAAAACTATGACATCGTGATACTTAGGAAAATATAGTTTTTTTTGACATAGTTAATTTTTGTTTATATATATTTTCTCGACGTATATATGTACATATAAATGTGCGAAGAATTTATATTATAGCTACCGCTAGTCGAACATTTTTGTCCAACGATACCGTATAACACATCTGTCTTGCATACAAATTAACATCATAACAAGTATCTTCACTCTTGACCACATTTATTTGCTCTTAACAGATAGAGACTACTTTCTATTTTTCGATATTTCAATTAAAAAATTTTTTTGCTTTCATTCGCGCATAATATTATAGACAACTTTTACTGATATTTGATTGTATTTTTCGTGATTTTGGTTCTTTACGGATGGAATTGTCCCAGTTCTTAAAACATGAAATCAAAAAAAGTGATGAAAAAGTAGTCAATAATTAAATACAATTGATGACATGATATAAATGATCTTCTAGAGATTCTCTGTGACGAATTTTATCTTGTATGTCAATTTTTTCCTCTCGATTGAGCGGAGAAAATTGTACACGCATATAAAAGTAAAGAGATCAATGTTTTTTCACGTAATAGATATTAATGAACGTGATGTGGTTATCCTTTGGTTCATTCTTTTTTCTTTCACTCGGATCCCCAGTAAACGAAAACTAATTGAAATGAATTAAAAAGAATTCACAAAGAGCTTTCGTGAATCCCGCTTTGTGACAAATACGAATTGGAGCCATGATGCAATTTTCCTGAATTCGTGAAACTGTATTGAACTTCCGAACCTTCTATCCGTACCAATTCACTGGACAAGTTTTGAGCCTTTAATTTTTTTCAATTCGTTAGCACGAATTCAATGCATTCCTTGGCCATTTCTTTCGAATGCGAATTCGTTTGGACAAATTGGTACATATTGAATTAAATTCAATTGAATATACAAAGAGCTTGAGTGAATCCCGCTTTGTGACAAATACGAATTGGAGCCTACCAAAAATGTTAATTCGTTTCAATTCATTTGAATTAGTTTTTTTTTACTGGGTCGAGTATATTTATGATGATGCGCAACTATATCAGAATCATTAAGTATATGATGCAAAGCATTTAGAATATATAAGACTAGGACAGGGAATATGTCGAACACATGGTGCCCACCACCGTTATGGACTAGGCACTCATATGAAACCAACCAGTCACTGTTACACATAACTGATTTACGCTACTACTGCACCGCTACAAAACACCTCACGCATATCGTTGCATATTCTCATATACATATATCTGCAATATTCACTTTACTATACAGCGAGCTATACAGTTAACCGCTTATTTCGCTAAAGCACACTTCACACATTATTGCTATTATTAGAAATGTGTTCAATCATTTTGCAAAATAGTTATTTATGACTTCAATTGTAACCCCCCGTGTAATTATGATTAATTGCTGTTACTTATTAGGCTCCGCCTATTATGCCCTTAATGAGAATTATCTATTGATGTTAAGATGTTATTTTTACGTTATCGTTTGTTATAGTTTTCCCCCTCTTGATTTACACCTCTGGACGACTAACCTAATGCACCTCTTCTAGAATTAACCCGCCTACAATTTCCCTTTCTTTTTTTTAACTCCGCCTATTATACTATTTGGCTCCACCTATTGAACCTCTTCCAAAAATTAACCACGCCTACATTTCCCTTTTACATATAGATTTATCTCCTATTATACACTTCCTGAATATTGACCCAGTAAAAAAAAACTAATTCAAATGAATTGAAACGAATTAACATTTTTGGTAGGCTCCAATTCGTATTTGTCACAAAGCGGGATTCACTCAAGCTCTTTGTATATTCAATTGAATTTAATTCAATATGTACCAATTTGTCCAAACGAATTCGCATTCGAAAGAAATGGCCAAGGAATGCATTGAATTCGTGCTAACGAATTGAAAAAAATTAAAGGCTCAAAACTTGTCCAGTGAATTGGTACGGATAGAAGGTTCGGAAGTTCAATACAGTTTCACGAATTCAGGAAAATTGCATCATGGCTCCAATTCGTATTTGTCACAAAGCGGGATTCACGAAAGCTCTTTGTGAATTCTTTTTAATTCATTTCAATTAGTTTTCGTTTACTGGGGATCTCATGTATAATTTTCCTTTTTTATTTGGATCCACCTATTAAACCCCGTCTAAAATTAACTCCGCCTATAATTCCCCTTTCTTATTTTTAACCTCTTCTCAATACTCACCACGCCTATAATTTCCCTTTATTATTTTTTGCTCCGCCTCTTTCAAAAACTAACCACGCCTACATTTCTCCTTTTATATTTTTGTCTCCGCCTATTACACCCCTTTTAAATGTTAGCCACGCCTATAATTTTAGGAACATTCCCTTGGAAATATATATGTCAATTTATTTTTTTGTTTTCTAATAACGTACAATTTATTTATTATTTTTTATATAGTACAAAAAGGGTTTATCTTTTAGAGAACTGAATCGTAAATAAATAGTTTCTTATCAAAGAAACGAATCAAAGTACAAACGAACGGATCCTTTTGAGAATAAGTGCAAATGGTCTTTTGGTTTAGCATCAAATGTTAAACCAGGTTACATTTTTGTCTCCGCCTATTACACCCCTTTTAAATGTTAGCCACGCCTATAATTTCAGTCTTTATTTGGCTCCACCTATTAAACCCTTTGTGAAATTAACTCCGCCTATAATTCCCCTTTCTTATTTTTGTCTCTGCCTATTATACCCCTCCTGGGTATTGACCACGCCTATAAATTCCCTTTCTTATTTTTGACCCCCGCCTAGTATACCTGGTCGAAAAATTAACCACACCTACTTTCCTTCTTTTATATATTTTGCTCCTCCTGTTTTACCTCTTTTAAACACTAAACCGCATATTTTTCCTTCCTTATTTTTGGCTCCGCCTATGATACGCCTCCTAAATATTGACCACATCTATTATTTCCCTTTCCTATTTTTTGCTCCACCTAGTATACCATGTCCAAAAATTGACCACGCCTTCTTTTCTCTTTCGCTCATCCTATTATACCCCTTCCAAACATTGACCCCAAGTAGGCGTTCCTTATTTTTTGCTCCGCCTATTATAAATCTCTCCCACATTTTCCTTTCCTGTATTATTTGACTCCACCTGTTATTTTTCATCGTTAAAATTGAACCTGATTAGAATTTTCGGAATTTTCTCCAAATTGATACTTTTATTTATGGTCTTTAGGCATTTTTTCCCCTTTTGATATTAATTTGTGTGACACTGTCAGGTTGATAAAAAAATAGAAATTTTCTTTCTTTCCCTACGATTTGAAAATATATAATTATTTTCTTTAAATTATTATCATTAACGGTCTACTCTACTATTGCAAATCGTCGCCATCGTCGTCGTCGTCTTGATAATTACGAAGCGTTACTGTTATAAGAGGCATTAAGGACCAAATGATATCCCCGGAAAGTCAATGTTCCTTCCCGATGAGAGGCAGGCTTTTCTCTTCTGTATTCTTGGTCATCTCAGCATTCAGTGTTGTGACATTGTTAAGCGCGGTTTCACCGTGTTCGGAGAACCGTTAAAAGATAAATTCAATAGGACAAAAATCTCGTCGAACCATTGAAGTGTCTTGAGTTCCGCCGGTTGACATTGAGTACAAATCGTTATGGTGAATAAATAAAAGAATTGCGAGACTTATTTTTTTAGTGTGAATTAATAGTGTTTTAAAAAAAAATTTTTTTAAACAAAAAGTGCCTCTTAATATTAAATATAGAAAGTTGTTTTTGTTTGTTTATTGTTCACATAAATTTACTTTTCTCTGCTATTTCCATATGCTTAAAAAATTAGTAGATTTTTTTTTATTAATTCTAAACAATTTTTGGTAAAAAATATTTTTTTAATTCGATATTTATTTTTTTGAATTTTGTACTAAAAATTTTGAAAATTATAATTTTGTTTCATCTAGATTTAGGTTTATTATATTTAGCAAAGCAGATTGAAAAAAATGCTAATTCAGTGCAATGTTTGATTAAATTATTTATTCTGAAAAGTAATTTTCAACACATATTTTAAGAAATAAATTATAGTTATTTAAGTGATAAAATCTCGCGGAGCGAAGAAAATAGATTTCTAGTTCATTTGAGAGATAATTAAAGTTAAAATTCAATTGAAATTCTCGACCACGGCGAGACGACGTTCATTGTCTTATGGATTTACTGCAGATAGTCTTTACGAATCAGGTAATAATTTAAAAAAGAAAATTATTAATCGTGTTGCACTTACTGTGAGTCAATTTTTTATTTATTAACAATAATCAAATTTACAATTTCTATACGCACTAAATTTGCTTGAATTGATCGAAAAAAACATAACTCGATTTGATCGATATTAATAGCCTAAAAAGAAGTTAAACAGCGAAAGTCCGGAACGAGTTAATTTTTATTTTTGTGAAAACACTGAAATTTTAAGAAAATCCGCAAAGCGAATTTATTTTATACTATTTCTCAAAAGACTAAATAAATCTTTTGGACATCCCGAGTGTGAAGGATAATTCATAAATCATATAAGATTTCTCTTTTGTTTGTTGTTCCTTTGTGACATGAAAGTGTTTCAAGAAGTTTTTTTTTTAAATAAAAATCTTAAGAAAGGAATGCTAACGGTAATGGAAAAAAAATTAAGAATTATATATAAAATTGAAGACGAGTAAGTTAACCACAAAGTCTTGTAGATGCGGTGAAGTTTCTACTTCCGGAATAATTATTGCAGACGTCTTAGCATATAGAAAGGGAATTGAGGTAAAAGAATAAGAGTGGGGGATTTTACAATTTACAACTGTCGGATAAGTTTCGATAATCATCATCACGACCTTAAAAGTTATCAGGACGAATTTCCAAAGAACAAAAATGAGAGAGAAATTCACATTACGCCAACTCGGTGAATAGTTCTTCGCCTTGTTAAATTAGTGTTCTTTACTTTTCATTTCTAAAAGTAACCAATCTTTTTATCTTTTACAATTGAAAAAAATTACCAATTATATTTGTTTTAATAATTAATTAAATTTGTCAAAAAAAAAGATCAAATATTACAACTTCTGGAATAATTTAATTTTTCTACTGATTGACCTTGAAAAATTAATTTTAACTAATTTTAGAATCAGTTAAATAAATATTATTTTGATTACAAATATTTAAAAAATTACAGGAATACGTTTTTTGTTTAATTTTGAGAAAGTGTAAATTTCTTTTATTCTTGATCAAATTACAAGATTTTGTTGACTTATTGAAATGAACTTTTTTTGGGAATTTAGATGAGAGTCACTGTTTTTTATAGCTCTCTGAAGCATGTTATAATCAAAGTACAAACGAACGGATCTTTTCGAGAATAAGTGCAAATGGACTTTCGGTTTAGCATCAAATGTAAACAGGTAGACTTGAAAATTATTTCCATACCCCGCGTTTCCCTTTTATTTCTCTTTTAATCGGAACACAATTTCAAGATATTTCCACATTTCCTTTAAAAATAATATTTTATATTTATTATAATTAATATGTAACTAATTAAGCTAATTAATTGCTATGTTTTTATTATTTTTTAGGAACATTTCCTTGGAAATATATATGTCAATTTAATTTTTTGTTTTCTAATAACGTACAATTTATTTATTATTTTTTACATAGTACAAAAAGGGTTTATCTTTTAGAGAACTGAATCGTAAATAAATAGTTTCTTATCAAAGAAACGAATCAAAGTACAAACAAACGGATCCATTTGAGAATAAGTGCAAATGGACTTTCGGTTTAGCATCAAATGTCAAAACAGGCTCGAAAACAGAAAGACTTGAGAATTATTTGTATACTCCCTGCGTTTCCCATTTATTTCTCTTTTAATCGAAACACTGTTTTACATTTCCTTTAAAAACGAAAAAAATATTTCCATTTTTCTGTCATCATTATTTTCTTAATGAACTTCTTTATTAATTTTTTATATTATTGAACTAGTTTTTTTTATGGAGCAATTAAAATTATTTTTAATTTTGTCGTGCATCATAATTATAAATTGCAGATTAAATAAATATACATCTAAATTTAAATATAATTTGATTTTAAAAAAGTGTGTGTGTGTCTGTGCGTTTTTACTCGCCTTTCACCTTAGAATTTTCTTCTTGTTTCCTTTTTTTTCTTCGTCAGTCAGATATTCATCAAAACATCTCTGAATAAAATCTTAATGTGAATTCGTATATATACTAATACGCATTATCGTGTGCAATCAGCAAAACGCAAATCATTATTTATGAACTAAGAAAAGATCGTCTAGACTAAATCATATACGTTTTTAATTAAAAATAAAAGAAAAATGAAAGCTACATATTTTTCCATTGAAGAACAATTTTAAAAAATTAATATTTAGAAAACTACATATGCGTTAAAGAATGTTGTAGTAATTTTCGTTTGTTAAAATATTCACAAAATTAAGAGAGTTAGTGAGTCTGAAAAGAAAAGTTTTTAGGAACATTAAAGTAAATCCGCAAACGATTTCACAAAAAATTACTTTATTTCGAAAATAAATCTAATTTATATTTACCCCCCCCCCCCCCTCCTTTAAGACAAAAAACTGCTTATTATTATTATGTTTTGAAAATAACGTAATTTTTAAATTTAAAAACTTTTTTTTCCCTTTTTCAAAAAATGCAATTGAAATTGTGAATGATTAGGGGCGAGGAAAGACCTACATTCTGTTGATTTATGTATATAAATTATAAGTAGGTAATTTTTCATGCATGAAAAAAATCGACACGTGCCCACGTTAATTATAATATAAGTAAAGTAGCATCTCACAGTGTTCTCATAATATCTGAGTAATTTGTTATACTTGAGTGTTCCTCCTTAGTACTAGAATTATATATGCGTGTAGTTACGTAGGCTAATTTGTGCCCATTAACATAATAATTGTCCGCTGCGGTTTCGTTTTGTCTCTGATAAATACAAACAAAATTTTTTTTTCTCTTTTTACTTTCTTGTATTTTTTATTCTATTATTTGTTTCTTTCATTACATAGGGGAGAGAAAAAGATTTTTATTTACCCATAGTTGTAACTCCACGTATGTACTTAGAAATTGAAAATGATTTTTTTTATATTTAAAAAATATGGAAGTATTTTTAAATTTGTCATCCGCCATATTGGATCCACCATTTTGAATTTTAAAAATTCCACTTCAGATTCGTAATCAGCGACCCCAAAAACCCCCGACTAACAAGTTTCAAGCGAATTAAATTAGTTTTAAAAATTTGTCATCCGCCATATTGGATCCGCCATTTTTAATTTTAAAAATCTCAATCCAGATTCGTAATCAGCGGTCCCAAAAAACCCTGAGTAAAAAGTAAACGGTTTAATTAATGGGAAAGTCTTACACATCTTTGGCGCGATTTTAGGGAAGACAATGTTTGCGGAGCCAATAAATAAAAAAGACAGGACTAATTATATTTATTATTCAAAGGATTAATAGGGCGGGGCCAATTTGTTTCAACTTCTATTTAATCATTTTCACACCTATTTTACATTCAAGTAAACACTTTTAATTTTAAACTACACCTATATGATTATTATTGTTCGCATGTAGTAATGTAGTATGGCGTGGCAATAAAGAGTAAAAGTTTTTACACACATACTTAAGGGAATATAAATGATAATTTTTATTATAGACAATAAATGGTTTAGACGAATAGAATTTTCTAGAACAAAATATAATACATATAATGGAAAAACCTTTGTATATTTTCCCCAAGCATGGTTTATTCTCAATTTTACGGATTCGTGAATCTCTTTTCCAAACTATTTTAAATCCAAAACAAAATGCAATCGTTGCGTGCATCACGCAATTATCACCATCATTTTTCTTCATTGAATCAAGATAAAAGTTCTAGACAGAAACATGTTTTTTATCACTAAATTCAATATTTCTTCTCGTCAAAAACATATGTATATCAAATTCTTCCTGTGAGGTGTAGAGCGTATAGAAACAAAAAATGATTAATTGGCGCTCATAAAAATATTTCCCTTTCTAAGTAAACGGTGAATATTTATTAAAATGAATTATAATGTTCTTATACTGTATGTAAATGTTTGAAGAGTATTTAAATCACGTTTTACGTTTTTTTCATTGCTGAAGAGGTTAGAAAGTGAGAATCGATGTGGGTTTTTCGATATATCGATTTAAATCGGTTTGTGATTGGTTGTATGGTTACATGGGAAAACTGTTCCTCCCCTTAGAGAAGATTTGCTAAAGAAAGATTTTTTTTTATCAACCCATGTATTTTTATAAATAAATAAATGATTAGATTCGTATGAAATCGGTCATTCCCCGCGCGTTAACAGGTGGCTATTATATATAATATGGCGGTAGGAACAGGTATATAATACTTTGCAATTGCAAGTGATTTCAAGGGAATGAACACCGTAATTGGCCGGGCATATAACGATTCGTTCGTGGTGGTTCGCATCAAGACCGAAGAAAGTTGTTTTCAATGCCCCGCAGGCACAATTGTTTTAACGCCCGCTAAGATGATGATAATGATGACCAGGAGATCTGTATATGTACTCAAACATATATATACCATTTCTATTGTTATATATTCGCGCTTTTACCACACACAAACCAATTTGTTCCAATCGCATTTGCAATTCAAGTGAAAGGATTTTGCCTTCTCGATGATATATTGTTTATGTATAAAATTTAAAAAGTAAAAAAATATATAAACCAAAGTAACAAAAGCTTAAAATATACATTTAACATTAAACTCTCACTGTCAGTGCACAAAATTTACTGAATTTATTTGAATTTTTATTTTACGTTTCTTAAAAGGCACTTTACTTGCAATTTTTATTTATTTCTTTTTCTCATGTATTTTTATTATTCTCATGTAATATTTATAAAAGAAATGTTGGAGTGTAACTGAAGTATATTATTTATAAGGAAAATGAACATTTTTGGAGTATAATTTTAGTTTGGGAAATAAAAAATCCTTACAATATTGAATTTAACTTTCTCTATTTGTTACTATATGGAAATTAAATTACTAATAACAATAATAAAAGAAAAATGTTTATAGAATAATTAGAAATAACTAATTGGGAAAGAATTTAGAAAGAGGATAAAAATGCCGATAAATGTTGGTTATAGGAATCTGTAATTTTTTTGGGACCGTTATTCACTTGTTACGTTTTCAAATAGTTCATATGGAACACGTGACGACTGAATACTATAACCTTATAAATATAACCTTATAAATAAATATAAAATAAAATAAATATAAATCTTAAAATTTTAATTAAAGCATTAGTTTTTTAAATTTATTGATATATTAATTAATATTTTGCTTTTTTTGTTGTTTTAGCGAGTAACGAACAACATGACAAGGACAGTTTGAACGAAACAGGAAGCACAACGGGTGGCACGGTGGAGGGTGCCCCTGGGGGAAACCCCGGAAGGGGCGAAAGATCTAAGGAAACTGAACCCTCTGCACAAGAGCCATCCTCATCAGCAGTGCCTCCAAGATCTCTTGTATCGAGGATACTATCGAGGGCGAGGTCTCCTGAAGAACTTTTAGACCATTCTGAACCATAGTAAGTTTTATTGCATATATAATAAATAAATATATCTATTATATAATTACATATATTATAATTAATATATAATTAAGCTAATTATGTTTTTATTATTTTTTAGGAACATTTCCTTGGAAACATATAAAAGTCAATTTTAGTTTTTGTTTTCTATTTATTATATTTTATATAGTATACAAAAAGGGTTTATCTTTTAGAGAACTGAATCGTAATTGAATAGTTTCTTATTAAAGAAACGAATCCTATATTTTTGTCTCAGTAAGACAATTATATAATAACAATGCGAGATAATCTGTCCTCACGTAAAGTTAGTGTTTTTAGTTAGTGTTTTTTTTAGTTTTAGTTTTTTTTGTAAATGTAGCAGTCATTAGTAAAAGTAGATAAAAGACAGAAAAAATTAATCGTAGATGAGTTATTTTTCCGATGAGAGAGAAGGATTTTTAAAAGAAGTAATTTTCAATGTTAACGAACTTTGGTAATTTCTTACAATAAACGGCGACAGTAACAAAAAAATAAATAACGGTGAAGTTATTATTTTGTAAAGTGTAAAAACACGGTTGCAACACTTGTTACGAGAATGATTATATTATGACGTTTAAATGACGAACTAAAGAAAAACATTTTTGCATCATGTAAATGAGAATTCCAAGTTTTTGTAACGGACAAAAATGTAAATTTCTAAATCTTATCATAAAAGGTAAATCTCATCACATAAAATAATGACTTTCTCTCTCTTGATTTCTTAATACATTTCTCTTTTCCCGTTTCTCGATAGAAATATTTGCAAAAATTAAAATTCTCCAAATTTTTGTCTTAAAGATAACTGATTTTTTTTTCATTTTAAAAGTTTTTTTTAATTTTTCAAATACGATTGAAAAAAATGTATAATAATTGATAATTGAATAATTTAAAGTAGAATAGTAAGAAATATATATATATATATAAAATTAAAAATGCAAAAATTAAATAAGAGTAAAAATAGAAAATTACAATATAATTATTGTTCTTATTTTCTTTCTTTTTAGTTCGCAATTATGGATCGTTCTGTCAAATGTTTACGGGGAACTGGTGGTGATAATGATGATGGCCCTGTGCCTCGCCGAAGTGATGGATACACCTGTGCCTTTACTCAGCTTACAGGTAATTGAGACATCTGGTCTCCTTGGACTCAATTATCTCTTTTGATTGAAGTCCCCAAAGAAATGAAAAAGAAACGAATAATCTATTTTTCAAAAAAATGATTATAAATTACATTAATAATTCATTTCTATACAAAATAGTTTCCATTCGAAGATTTTGAATTAACTTTCCTTCTTTGTTTTAAAACTGATTGTACCCGAATTAAAACATGTTTCTTTTATTGAAAATTAAAAATTATCAATGCTTGCGTTTATTAACAATTTATTGAGATTTTTAAACTTAAAAGCTATAAATAAATATAAGACTAATAATAATGACGATAACAATAATGACATTAATAGTTCAATAATCTTTGTAATTTTATAATTAATTATCGATTATATAATCAAGAACAAAAAAATCTTTACTCTATTAATTATTATTATCTATTTATTATTTTTTCTAAACATTTCTTTGGGAACAAATCAGTCAATTTAATTTTTTGTTGACTTATAACGTACAATTTACATTAATTATTTTTTATATATAACAAAAAGTGGCTTTCTTTAGAGAACTGAATCGTAATTAGTTTCTTATTAAAGAAATAAATCTTATATTTCTGGAAAATATTCAGGAGAATATATCCAAGTAACGGAATTTTTTCTTATTACAATTTAAACAAAATTTTTTTTTTACTAAAACAATTTTTGTTTATTGAAAATTTAACTAAAAAATTGCTTTGTATTTTGTTTGTGAATTTTATTTAATGAAAAATTTTCTTTGAATATTCTTGTGAATAAATATTTTCCCTTTTTTTCAAAAGGGAATTTTCCTGATGTATATGTATATTGGAAGCATAGTCGTAATCATAAGCATCTACCTCTGGGTCTTAGTGGACAGTTGTCGAAGTTTAGGAAGCAGTGGAATTGGAATTGATGACGCCGAACTCGGTGGTGCATCACTCACGAGATTTGGATCCCTTAAAAGGGCCCATATTTCACGCTCGAGAACAACAACAACGAGTTTCTACATACGAGTTGGAGCCTTACGTACGTAATTTCAAGTAATTCTTTAAAAAAAATAATTTTCTTAAAATTGCATACTTTATTTTTTACTCTAATTTTAATTAATTTATTTATTTAATAACTTATACATACTTACAAGGTGGTAAATACTTTTTGTACTTTTTTGTTACAGAATAAAAGTGAAATTCATTTTCAACTTTTTATATTTGTTTCAGTTTTTGGCCTGGCGACTCTAGTCTTTAATGGACTGGAAATGGCAATGCATTCAATGATGCAAGGAGCGTCTTGTCTCAGTGATATAATTTTCGTTCATCCCGTTCTGCATGGACTCTTCACTTTCCTGCAAATGCATTTTCTTTTCGTCAATTCTCAAGTATGTCGAATTCTTCGTTTTTAGACAAATTTTAATTTAAAAAATCGAATTAAGTATGAATTTAATTAAAAGAAATTTAAATTATTTTCTCTAAAAAATGTCTGAATATTTCTGAAAATTCGTAATTTTGGAAATTAATTTTTAAAAATTTTTATTCGCGATGTTAATAATTATCGAATTTTATAAAAAAGAGAGACAAATTTTCAGGTTCTCGTTGAGAGATTTGGACTGGCAGCAAGATTTGGTTTCACACACTTGGCCGCGACGAATGTGGCAGTTTGGATTCGATTAATAATTTGGGATTCCGCTTTAGAATGGACGTATTTCGTTCATCTCGCTCAAAGAGGACCGCAAACTTCCTCGTCACCTCTTCATCTTCGAGGCTTCCCTCAATCTTTGACGAGGCACACGAGAGACGTTTTGGGTAAATTTCTTAATTTATCTAAGGAAATAATGGTGACAACAAAAAAAGGTTTTTCTTTAGAGAACTGAATCTTAATTAAATAGTTTCTTATTAAAGAAACGAATCTTACAATTAAAAAGAAAGCCAGCTGAAAGTATTTTCGTAACGGACTTTTTGCTTATTATAATTTAAACAAAATGAACATAAGGACTTTTAAAAATCCTCAGAACTTTTTTTTTACTTATATCAAAACATTTTTTTCAAAAAAAATCTTTTTATGTTTGATATTGAAGTTAATATACAATAAAATCTTATTTGCATCAAGACGAATCGATTAGTCTATAAAAACCATAAATTGGATTAGAATTTAGAGAATCAATCACAAATAAAGTCGAAAAATTTGCATTTTTATTAAAAATTCAATTCTTTGTTCAAAAAAATGTTTTCATTTTATTGTTTTTAATTTGTTTGCATTTTATACCTAATTTTTAATATTTAAGAGTTTAATGTTTTATTTTTAACTTGTTTGTTTTAATATTTCTTTTCTTGTTATCCTTTTAATTTGGTAATATTTTTCATTCATTTATTTATCCTTAAATTTATTTTTAGGTGAAGGATTAACGGGAGATAATGTGTACAGAATTTATGAACCAATATCCAAAGAACAAATTTCGCAAGTTGTCGCCTTGCAAGACTGTCTCAATGGCAGTTCATTGGGTCAATTGTGGACGTCGAGTTTACCTTTTTTGTATCCATTTATTGTTCAATTCAGGCAAGTTATTTGCATTTATTATTTAAAATTTACTAATTTTCAATCAAATTTGCGACGGATATTATAAATTTAGTCTGGAAATAACGATTTTTAATAGCAGAATTTTTTACTATTTTCAATATTAATTTTTCTGTATAAAAATTATTCAAATTTTCCTCGAACATTACAATTAGCTATTAAACATTATTTTTAAGTAAATTCAATTTAATTATTTTCGAAAAATTTAATAAAATTCTTTGCACGAGATTCAGTTTTATTTTCAATCCAATTTTAATTAAATTCGTCGAAAAAATTTGCAAGAATTCAATTATTTTTATGCATGTAATAAAATTCTTCACAGGAATTCAATTATTTTCAATATAATTTTAATAAAATTTCTCGAATGAATTCAATTATAAGAATTTAATTTTTCATTATTAATTATTATTATTTATTAAAACTTGAAAATTATTGAATTTAAATAAAATTTTTTAAAATAATTGTATTCTTTCTAAAAATTTTATTAAAATTGAATTGAAAATAATTGAATTCCACGGAAACATTTTATTATTTATGAAAATAATTTAATTCCTTTAAAGGGTTTTATTATTTATAAAAATATTTTAATTCTTACGAAGAACTAGCCAAACTATCCGCGCGCAAGCGCGCGGGAATGTTGTATGGGGCTGCTTATTTTAAACAATTTAAAAAATTTTAAAGAAATAATTATTATAACCTAACAAAGAGATTTAACTAACTAAAAATCAAATAATTTCACTCAATGGTCTCAATTTAAATAGAATTTACATTACTAGACTAAAACTATGGCTAGAACAATTACAATTAGTATCTGGGTCATCTTTTGCATTGCTTATTTTATAAAGCCATTTTAAATTAAATACTTTTTAAAGAAATAATAATTATTACACACTGAAAAAAGTTTTACTTGAAATAGCGATAAGTTTCTCTAGAATAACGAAAGTATTAATTGAAGCACTGAAAAATTTCGCTACTAAAGGAAAATCTGTAGTTCATCCAGCTAAATATTTTTTGCCGTGCATAACGAAAAAAGAATTAAATTAACATCAGATTTTCTACATTAAAAAAAAACGAATTCAAATAGAAATTAATCATTTTACAACTTAACCAAATTCACCCCAGAAATCACTGAATACGATAATTTAGAAGAAAGTCAGACAAAAGCAGGGTTCCTACAGAATCTGGAAATCATGGAAAAGGCCTGGAATTTTTAAGTTTCTAAATTTTTTCTCTTGAATAAAAATTCAAATAATAATAAAGCTAAATGGCATAAAAGAAAAGAAAAAATAAAGAATTTTAAGAAATTCGATTTTTGATAATTTTTGATAATTTTAGATTTTTTACCAAAGAGTAGAGACAATTTAATAAGTAAAGTATTTTCCATAAGCACAAAAATAATGAAGCTAAATCCCATAAAAGAGAGGAAAAAATGTTGAATTTTTAGAAATTCGGATTTTTGAATTTTTGATAATATTCGATAATTTTAGATTTTTTACCAAAGAGTCGAGACAATTTAATAAGTAAAGTATTTTTCAAAAGCACAAAAATAATGAAGCTAAATCCTATAAAAGAGAGGAAAAAATGTTGAATTTTAAGAAAAACGTATTTTGAAATTTTTCGAATTTTTGATAATTTTAGATTTTTTACCAAAGAGTCGAGACTATTAAATAAGTAAAGCATTTTCTAAAAGCACAAAAATAATGAAGCTAAATCCCATAAATGAGAAGAAAAAATATTGAATTTTAAGAAAATCGGATTTTTGAATTTTTTCGAATTTTTGATAATTTTAGAATTTTTACCAAAGAGTCGAGAATATTAAATAAGTAAAGTATTTTCCAAAAGCACAAAAATTATGAAGCTAAATCCTATAAAAGAGAGGAAAAAATGTTGAATTTTAAGAAAAACGTATTTTTGAAATTTTTCGAATTTTTGATAATTTTAGATTTTTTACCAAAGAGTCGAGACTATTAAATAAGTAAAGCATTTTCTAAAAGCACAAAAATAATGAAGCTAAATCCCATAAAAGAGAGGAAAAAATGTTGAATTTTTAGAAATTCGGATTTTTGAATTTTTGATAATTTTCGATAATTTTAGATTTTTTTACCAAAGAGTCGAGACAATTTAATAAGTAAAGTATTTTTCAAAAGCACAAAAATAATGAAGCTAAATCCTATAAAAGAGAGGAAAAAATGTTGAATTTTAAGAAAAACGTATTTTGAAATTTTTCGAATTTTTGATAATTTTAGATTTTTTACCAAAGAGTAGAGACAATTTAATAAGTAAAGTATTTTCCATAAGCACAAAAATAATGAAGCTAAATCCCATAAAAGAGAGGAAAAAATGTTGAATTTTTAGAAATTCGGATTTTTGAATTTTTGATAATTTTCGATAATTTTAGATTTTTTACCAAAGAGTCGAGACAATTTAATAAGTAAAGTATTTTTCAAAAGCACAAAAATAATGAAGCTAAATCCTATAAAAAAGAGGAAAAAATGTTGAATTTTAAGAAAAACGTATTTTGAAATTTTTCGAATTTTTGATAATTTTAGATTTTTTACCAAAGAGTAGAGACAATTTAATAAGTAAAGTATTTTTCAAAAGCACAAAAATAATGAAGCTAAATCCCATAAAAGAGAAGAAAAAATGTCGAATTTTAAGAAAATCGAATTTTTGAATTTTTTCGAATTTTTGATAATTTTAGATTTTTTACTAAATAGTAGAGACAATTTAATAAGTTTAGTATTTTCCATAAGCACAAAAATAATGAAGCTAAATCCCATAAAAGAGAGGAAAAAATGTTGAATTTTTAGAAATTCGGATTTTTTAATTTTTGATAATTTTCGATAATTTTAGATTTTTTACCAAAGAGTCGAGACAATTTAATAAGTAAAGTATTTTTCAAAAGCACAAAAATAATGAAGCTAAATCCTATAAAAGAGAGGAAAAAATGTTGAATTTTTAGAAATTCGGATTTTTGAATTTTTGATAATTTTCGATAATTTTAGATTTTTTACCAAAGAGTCGAGACAATTTAATAAGTAAAGTATTTTTCAAAAGCACAAAAATAATGAAGCTAAATCCCATAAAAGAGAGGAAAAAATGTTGAATTTTTAGAAATTCGGATTTTTGAATTTTTGATAATTTTCGATAATTTTAGATTTTTTACCAAAGAGTCGAGACAATTTAATAAGTAAAGTATTTTTCAAAAGCACAAAAATAATGAAGCTAAATCCTATAAAAGAGAGGAAAAAATGTTGAATTTTAAGAAAAACGTATTTTGAAATTTTTCGAATTTTTGATAATTTTAGATATTTTACCAAAGAGTCGAGACTATTAAATAAGTAAAGCATTTTCTAAAAGCACAAAAATAATGAAGCTAAATCCCATAAATGAGAAGAAAAAATATTGAATTTTAAGAAAATCGGATTTTTGAATTTTTTCGAATTTTTGATAATTTTAGATTTTTTACCAAAGAGTCGAGACTATTAAATAAGTAAAGCATTTTCTAAAAGCACAAAAATAATGAAGCTAAATCCCATAAATGAGAAGAAAAAATATTGAATTTTAAGAAAATCGGATTTTTGAATTTTTTCGAATTTTTGATAATTTTAGATTTTTTACCAAAGAGTCGAGACTATTAAATAAGTAAAGCATTTTCTAAAAGCACAAAAATAATGAAGCTAAATCCCATAAATGAGAAGAAAAAATATTGAATTTTAAGAAAATCGGATTTTTGAATTTTTTCGAATTTTTGATAATTTTAGAATTTTTACCAAAGAGTCGAGAATATTAAATAAGTAAAGTATTTTCCAAAAGCACAAAAATTATGAAGCTAAATCCTATAAAAGAGAGGAAAAAATGTTGAATTTTAAGAAAAACGTATTTTTGAAATTTTTCGAATTTTTGATAATTTTAGATTTTTTACCAAAGAGTCGAGACTATTAAATAAGTAAAGCATTTTCTAAAAGCACAAAAATAATGAAGCTAAATCCCATAAAAGAGAGGAAAAAATGTTGAATTTTTAGAAATTCGGATTTTTAAATTTTTGATAATTTTCGATAATTTTAGATTTTTTACCAAAGAGTCGAGACAATTTAATAAGTAAAGTATTTTTCAAAAGCACAAAAATAATGAAGCTAAATCCTATAAAAGAGAGGAAAAAATGTTGAATTTTAAGAAAAACGTATTTTGAAATTTTTCGAATTTTTGATAATTTTAGATTTTTTACCAA